GTTGGGTGAGGCAGAGTCTCTGGGGAGCACCAAGGTGGGTCAAACAGTGTTAGCCAGGTTGATGGAATCTGAGAAATGGCACCAGCTTGTCAGCTCTATGTGGGGGGGGTTAGAAAAGACACAATGGCTTCTGCTTGCCTTGATGCCAGACACTTCAGTTCCTCTCTTTATGCCACCAATGCCTTTCAAGCTGCTATCCTGGTGCTGGAGCTCAGAGGGAGTGAGTATGAGTAGATGAGTCAGTGTGTTGGTTCTTTAAGAAGAACTGCTTGGGTTTCCAAAAGTTTCTTCCACCTACTCTACCCCTGCTAGTTTTTGCAGCCAGAAGTTGTGGGGATTTATCTTCCTGGCACTGGAACCCTAGTCTGGGGGGCCTGGTGTGGGGCTGGGACTCCTCGCTCCTGAGATATACCTCCTTAATTTTTATTCACCACATGTGGGTGAAGAGCCCATTCCTACCAGTCTAGATAGGTGTGATTTCTTTAATTCTGTAGTTATCAGACTTCCATTCGACTCAATTTCTGATGGTTCTGAGTGATGGTTGTTCTTTATTTTAGTTGCAATTGTGATATGGTTGTGTGAAGAAGTGAACCATGTCTGCCTACACTGCCACCTTGACGGGAAGCCTCTTGGCATCATTTTTTTATATTTATTTAGTTTTCTGTGTGCTGACTAATAATTCATCCCTTAACTCTCCAGAATTGTGCATTACCTTCAGTGCATTCAAATGCATTCTCAGTCCCATATTTTCATGGAGAAAATAATCCTCTTGGAACGCTGATCTGGGATTGTTCCCAAGTATGTTCCACAACTATATTTTGTTGATTGTTATTACATAAAGAATTTTTTTGTCATTTTTAAGGTTATTTCAAATTATGATACATCAGTACAATAAAACACTATTTATTTATAAGCAACAAGTTTCCAAGCTATATGTTAAGTAAAAAATGTAAGATGTTTAAATCATATAAATAATGTTCTTGTTATTATAAAAAATATGGGTTATATATCTATGTTATTTGATACATAAAAACATATGGAAATACAAAAAACTGATCATGTAGTTACTCTGAGAGAAGCTTTCAGGGGTTGGGGTTCAGGGTGGAAGAGAGATTTATTTAATACTTTTATTAATGTTTTTATTGTCTGCCTTTTTAAAGATTTACCACATTACTTCTTCAAAGATAAAAACAGTATTTAATTTTTTTAAGTGTTTCAAATGTCTAGGACTTCCACAGTGTACTAAACTAATTAGCATTTATTTTTATGAAGTTACTAGCATTTATTTTTATGAAATTACTATCAGCTGTCTTAAAAACTTTTTGAAGAATAGGAGGGATGCCCTGAGTATTGAGAATAGACTAAAAGAGACTGCAGGTGGAAACAAGGACACCAATCAGATGACCACTGCAATAAGCCAGGTAAGAAGATGTTGGCCTGGCCCATGGTGGCAGCCATGGAGGTAATGAAAAATGACATTCACAGAGATGTATAAAATCACAAAGGAGTCACATTTTATTGACCACTGAATCCCTACCAGTACACAACTTTATACAAATAAAAATTAATAATGTTAACTATTCAAAGCCTGTTAGCACTTACATGAAGTTATTTCTACAGGTTTTTGTAGGCCTTGTAACTTAATAAACATGGCAAACACAAAGCCACTTAGCACTAGTAAAAAGGATCAGCATTAAATGCAGACACATACACACATGTGTGGAATCAATCAAATCAAGCAATTACTACCATTCAAACTCAGAAAATCACTAATTTGCAAAATGCTGTTTTAAAAATAGTAATAAGAAAGTTAGGTTAAAAAACTGTTGCTTGACATTTTCTAACTTAGGTCCAGGGAACATCAGCATTCAAAATTTTAAGAAAGATCACTATATTTTGTTGATGTTGGATGTGACTGTACCACAATTAATACTACATATATCACAAAGGCATAATTTTTAGTTATTAAAACAATTACTTCCTTGCTAGTTTGAACTATAGCTTTATAGTTCCAAAGAAACATGCTAACAATTTATATGAGTTGAAAATATTATACAAATTAAAAATATAGAAACACCAACACAATGTTACTTCAAATAATCAGGAACTTTTATCTATCTGTTAGCCAAGAGACCAGCCAAGTCACCTGCAGTAAGTTTCTTGTAATAACAGAGTGCATTTCACCTCTTAGACCTGAGCCATATGCCTGGTTCTCTCACGAACTAGCAATGCGGAGGTGAGCTCTTGGGCTTCCCAAGGTTTTTGTTTCCTCAGCTATAGAATTGAAGGAGTTTGGTTAAGATGACTTTTCCACTCAAAAAAATAATAAATAAGTCAACTTGAGACTCCCTGCTTTGGTAGAACATTTAGGATAAAGAAATGAATTTTTTAAAGGTCAATAGACATTTTCTTTCTACCTGAGTAATGCCATAATTCAGAACTTTTTTAAACTTTACTGTTGTTCACTGAAGAAAGAAATCAGGGAAGACACAAATGGAAACATGTACTGTGTTCATGGATCAGAAGAATTAACATCATCAAAATGTCCATACTACCCAAAGCCATTTACAGATTCAGTGCAATACCTGTTAAAGTACCAATGGCATATTTCACAGACATAGAACGAACATTTCAAAAATTTATATGAAACCATAAACAATCCTGAATGGCTGCTGCAACTTTGAGAAAGAAAAGCAAAGTAGGAGGGATCACAATACCTGATACCAAACTGTATTACAAGGCCACTGTAATCTAAACAGTCTGGTACTGGCATAAAAATAGTCACATGGACCAATGGAACAGATCAAAGAGCCTAGAAATAAACCCAAGTCTCTATGGTCAATTAATATTTGACAAAGGGGGCAGCAACATAAAATGGAGTAAAAATAGCCTCTTCAACAAATGGTGTTGGGAGAACTGGACAGTTACGTGCAAAAAAATGAAACTCGAGCACCAACTTACACCATACACAAAAATAAATTCAAGGTGGATATGAGATTTAAATATAAGCCATAACACTATTAAAGCCCTAGAGGAGAACATAGGTAGGAAAATCTCAGATATTTCACGCAGCAACATTTTTACTGATATGTCCCCCAGAGCAAGGGACATAAAGGAAAGAATAAACAAATGACATCTCATCAAAATAAAAAGCTTCTGCACAGCTAAAGACAACAGTATTAAAATAAAAAGAGAACCAACTGTATGGGAAAACATATTTGCCAATGATACCTCAGACTACGGTTTAATCTCCAAAATATATAAAGAATTTACACAACTCCACTCTAAGAAGACAAGCAACCCAATTAAAAAATGGGCAAAGGACTTGAACAGACACTTCCCCAAGGAGGACATACACAGGGTCCAGAGACACATGAAAAATGCTCAGTATCGCTAGCTATCAGAGAGATGCAAATTAAAACCACAATGAAATACCACTTCACACCAGTCAGAATGGCCATCATAAACAAAGCAACAAACAACAAGTGTTGGAAAGGTTGTGGAGAAAAAGGGACCCTAGTGCACTGTTGGTGGGATTGCAGACTGGTACAACCACAATGGAAAACAGTATGGAACTTTCTCAGAAAACTAAAAATGGATCTGCCTTTTGACCTAGCAATTCCACTGCTGGGACTATATCCTAAGAACACTAAAACACCAATCCAAAAGAACCCATGCACCCCAATGTTCATAGCAGCGTAATTTACAATAGCCAAGTGTTGGAAGCAAACTAGGCACCCATCAGTAAGTGAATGGATCAAAAAACTGTGGTACATTTACACAATGGAATTCTATGCAGCAGAAAGAAAGAAGGAGCTCCTATCCTTTGCCACAACATGGATGGAACTGGAAACCACTATGCTAAGCAAAATAAGTCAGGCAGTGAAAGACAGATATCATATGATCTCACCTTTAACAGGAACCTAAACAACAAAACAAACAAGCAAAATATAACCCAAGACACTGAAACAGAGAACAGGCTGACAGTGTCCAGAGGAGAAAGGGAAGGGAATTTCAGGGGAATTTCAGGGGAAAAGGGGAAGGGTTTACAGGAACAAGTATAAAGGACACGTAGACAAAATCTAGGGGTGGGTGGAAATGGAAGGGAGGCAGGGAGGGCTGAGTGGGTGGGCTGGGATGGGAGTAAAAGATAGCAAATTGTACTTGAACAACAATTAAAATTAAAAAATCACTGTTGTTCAGTTCCAGTCGCACCTTTTTCCCCATTGCTCATTCCTACGCCATCCCCTCAACTCCCAGAGTCAATTTCCTGTCTTCTTCCATGCCCATGAGTCCTCTATTAGTGTTCCTTTGCTTGTCCCTTCCCCTTCTTTCCTCTTTTATTCCCCACCCCCTTCCATCTGGTCACTGTCAGTTTGAACTATTCCATACTGTGGTTCAGAAGATATTTTTCTCATAAAATGTCAATCTAATGACTGATACTATTAAAATGTCTAAAAATGAAGCATCAAACAATTAAAACATGTTTTAAAAACTTTAAAGCACTTATGACATTTGAGTTAAAAAAATGGCATCCCATTACCAATTGGAATATCCTACCTTTTAATTTTTTTTTAATCTAAGTAGGGGTGGTATGCAATATTATATGGATTATATTCATTTCATTTGTACAATATAGTGATTTAACATAACTTATAATGTGAATATCCTATTACATTTTAAGAGTTAAGATTTGGGCCCTGGCTGGTGTGGCTCAGTGGACTGAGTGCCAGCCTGGGAACCAAAGGGTCACTGGTTCGATTCCCAGACAGGACACATGTCTGGGTTGTGGGCCAGGTCCTCAGTGTGGGGCCTGTGAGAGGCAACCACACATTGATGTTTCTCTCTCTCACTTTCTCCCTTCTTTCTCCTCTCTAAAAATAAATAAGTAAATAAATGAGATCTTTATTTCTTTTTAAAAAAAGATTTGGGGCAGGGGAAGAAATAACTAAGACACTGCACCATTTAAGCCATTATATTAAATGTGTAATAAATGCACACCAATTGAAAAGTAAATTCTTCAAAATGCTATCAAGAAAGCAAAGTTAATGAAAAATGATTTTTATAGAAGAGATGATTCCTTCTACTAAAACACCACACAAAAACACATTATCTTGAATGAATTGAACAAATAAATATGGCCATCATGATTGTGAATGTTCTATGATCTAGCATGTTGTCTTTATTCTAATGAGGCATGTACATTCTGCCCTGGTCTAATGGGTTCTTCTTTTCTGCCCTCATCATGAGAACTCCTTCATAACTTTCAGGTGAGTACTCTTCTGGGTTTCTTACAAATCCTGCTTGCACCAACTTTACAAGAAATATTATTCCAGGCCCATTTGTCTTGGTCATTAACAAGAACAACACATTTTTCTTTCTGTTGGTTGTTGAGTCTACCCATAGGCCATAATCTGAAATGAAAAAAAAAGTATATATAATACATACACACACACATGGGATGGGTGTCAAGGGACACTGTAGAGAAAATGCCCCTAAATGCCCCTAAATGAAAAATTTAGAGCTGCACGGTCCAATACAAGTACAGCACTATACTGGCATCAAGGTGACTCAACATGTGGTACTGACTAGCACATTTACATCGGTATCCTCCACCCTCAGAATAATTCTGCTTGCTACCTTCTTCCCACCATTGCCTACAAAGTTCTTTCACCCCAGGCAATATACTCACACCATATGTGGGTTAAATGGCGTCCTGTCCACCCATTGCCACTGGCCTTCTGGGTTCTCACGTGAAAGTCCCAGGAAATATGAAAATTGTCTATCCAAATACTGGATAATGAAGTTCTGCATTATAAAGTAAATTCTTATAAGTATATTTGCATTTATCATGTGATAGATATTATGCTAGGGAAAAAGGAAAGAGGCTGAATAGATTACTAGTTAAGCACAAGAATGTTGGCATCAGATGGATCTGCTTTCATATTCTGCCTCTACTGTTTACTGTGTAATGTTAGTAAGTGCTTGCATCTCACCGAACCCTAGTTTTCTTATCTCCAAAAGAGACAATAGAATTATTGTGAAGATTAACTAAGATGGTACTTGCAAACCACTTAGCAAATACTTCATAGAATCAGATTATCAGGAACTTTTGTTTTTAAAATTGCCTTCTTTAACTGTTTGTGTATTTCATTAAATCCCATTTTATCCAGAGTCAGCCTATAGATTGCAAGGCCATTAAAACAGAATCCTCCAGAAAACGCTGCTAATCAATGAAAGAGTAAACTGTGAGTCATGGTACATATATGGAAATATACTATATGAGGAAATAAATTTGTTTTTATGTTAAGATTTTCTTATTTATAACTATACATCTAAATTATTTTTTCCTATGCTTTATCCTGTAGCTATTTCAGTCTTGATTAAACCCTTCATTTATTCACTTACTCACCAACCAGTTATTAAGACCTAGCCAGAGTGCCTAGCACTGTGCAGGACACAGTGAGTAAGGCATCCCCCAGCCCACTACAAAGGAGGAATCATTGGAAGAGATGGAATGTTAAGCAAAGCACTGCAGAACACTGAAGTAAGGGCATGGTCACACAGTGCACAGAGTACCATACAAGTACCTCCAACATACAATAAGTAAGGTGGAGGAGGGAAGATGAGTCAAGGCAGTTTTCTGGAGGAAATAATGCTCGAATGAAATCTAGAAAGACCTGAGGAAGTTGGTCATATGAAGAAAATAAAAAAGGGAGAAAAGTGTTTCCAAGCAGATGGAACAGACAAAGCAAAGGCACAGAGGCATAGCAAAGCAGAAGTCCTCTTCCTCTATGAAGAAATTCAAACCATCAGGGAAACTGATGGGAGACTCCCAACATACCTGCTCAGCTTCTGTATTGATGGTGGCCAGGTGAGCCCCCAGCCCTGCACAGTTCCTTTCACTCTCTGCCCATGTCTTGTTGTCATTAAAAGGAAAATAGCAGTTGGACTGGAAGACTCTCCAGCCAATAGGACAACAGTTCCAGGTGGCCCCTCATGAGAATATTGAAGTGAAAATTAGTTACAAGGAAATATTCATCTGTAATAGATCACATAACTATTCTACTACCTAGTATCCAGTTAACATTTATGGGAATAATACCAAGATTATCAAAATCATTGTACCCCCTTTAAAAATATTCTTAATTACGCTTCTAAATATCTTCTAAACAAAAGTATTGGAATCATGTAATGACAAGAAAATTACAACATATTCTCTTAGAAGGGATGACCATTTTTCAACATCCCTACATCTATTTATGTTCACATTTAAAGTGTTTTAGCCCTGGCTGGTGTGGCTCAGTGGACTGAGCACCAGCCTGTGAACCAAAGGGTCACTGGTTAGATTCCCAGTCAGGGCACGTGCCTGGGTTGCAGGCCAGGTCCCCAGTAGGGCGGCATGTGAGAGGAAACTAACATTGATGTTTCCCTCCGTCTCTCACTCCCTTCCCATCTCTCTAAAAATAAATAAATAAAATCTTTTTTTAAAATGAAGTGTTTCTGTAAGAAAGTCTTTTACAGGACATTTTATCTGAAGGGGCAAAGAACCTGCTAGAACCGTCAAACATTTCCCCATTCTCCCAAATGAGATTATAAATTCCAGAATAATAAAGAGATAAAGACAAGTTTAGGAGGAAACAGTCCTCCTGAATCAAAAGAAATGGAATTAAATTAATGTTATGTTTTGAATGCTAAAGGTGACCCATAAAGGTGTTGTTATATTGTCCTGATTACAGTTGGGAGAATAGTTCCATCTCAATTACCAATGTTCATTCTTGTGCCAGATTCTCACCTTATGTTATTGTACACTCTCTTGCTTTACTACAGATATACTTTAAATCATATTATGAAGTTCAGTGGAAGTGGAAAAGAGAAAGAAATTCTCTTCTGCTTCTCTGCTACCTGTACCTTTCAGTTCTGATTTTTCTTCGATGCACGTCAGCTTCGTGTGGTGCCCTGGTAACGTGAACATCCTCATGCTTTGCTCACAGTGTAGAAAGTTGTCACGAGTCACTGTCAAGGAGGAACGAAGTTTGTTTCATTTCCTTACATAACCACTTAATTTGGGAAATGGGGACCGACTGCTCAATAGTTAGGGCCCTCACATTCTCTTCTCTTCCTATGCAGGTCCTTTGTTGCTGCTCCAGGTGAATTAGTTGAAAGAAATTGTTGAAATTAATATTTTTGTTATCATATTGTCCATTTTGTGCTTCATGGGGATAGTTTTTAAACCTTTATGTGAATGTGATTTTAAGCATATTTTTCTATCAGAATTTGTGTTAGAGTAGAGATTTTTGGTGAACACCAGAATATATCTACAAAATTTTATGATCCTTATACATTTACTTATCTTTTGGATATTTTTACTTTGAAATATAACCAAATGTGCCCTTGCTGGTATAGCTCAGTGGATTGAGCATAGGCCTGAAAACCAAAGGGTCACCAGTTTGACTCCCAGTCTAGGGCACATGCCTGGGTTGCGGGTCAGGTCCCCAGTGGGGAGCACATGGGAGGCAACCACACATTGGTGTCTCTCTCCCTCTCTTTCTCTTTTCCTTCCCCTCTAAAAATAAATAAATAATATCTTTAAAAAAAGAAATATAACCAAATGTAAAGAAGTAAAAAATGTAAATGTCCACAGTATCAACAGATTGTAAATTGAACACTCCAAGTAACTAGCCATCTCAAGAAACACAACATTGACAACACACCAGGTAGCCTTTACATCTCAGGTGCAACCCACTCCCTCTCTCTTACGGTAATGATGCCATGGCTTTTAAAATGATTGCTTTCTGCTTTGCTTTACCAGTTTACCCCTTAATAACATATCTCTAAACCATATAGCTCAGATTTGCCTGTTTTCAAACTTTATATAAATGGAGTCATACAATATGCCTTCTTTTGTTTTTGTTTTCTTCTCAGTGTTGTCTAAAATTTATCTATGCTGCTACACGCAACTATAATTCATCCATTTTCATTGCTATAAAGTGATCTATTGTCCTTATGCACTAATGGGTATTTTTCTGTTCTTCTTCTGGTTGATATTTGCATTGCTTCCAGTGTTGGCCTATTGTGAGTTATGCTGCTCTGGGAATTTTTGACAATGCATCATTCTAGAGCACATAAGCCTTCATTTCTGCAGGGTCTATGCCGAGGAGTGGAATCGCTGGTAATAACATATTGTCAGTTGTGATAACGGCAAACTTTTTCAAAATGAGTGTGCTCTACTTTACACTCCTACCAGTAGCAATTCTTTGGAGATCCAGTTGCTCCATATCATTATCAATATTTGATAGTACCAGACTTTTTTAAACAGTTCAGAGGTCTTTTAATTTTTTTTATACTTATGCCATTAATTTACAGAGAATGGTTTCCAACTCCAAGGCTCTTTTCCCTTGGTTCTCACAAAATGTGCTTCTCTGGGTGGGGCAGGCTGACACTTCAGCTGAACCCAGGTGCCTTTCTCTTTGGCTTCCTTCTTTTTCTGTTCATTTTCTTCCACGTGTTTTCAGGAAGCTATCTCAGTTCTTTAGAGTGTTTAATATGCTCAACATGTACCTTAATTATCTTGGCAAGAATCTCACCCTCAACTTTTTTGTTTACAACAATGTCCACTGCATGCTGGGTGACATTGTAGACTCTTCCAGTTTTGCCATGGGAGCATTTGTGGGACATTCATTTTTCAACAGTGCCCATTCCTTCAATATCTATATCATCTTTCTTGTACATTCACATGTATGTGGTCAAAGGAAAAATTCCATGTTTTCTAAAAGGCCTGGAAAATGTATAGCTATGCCTCTCCCCTTTCTCCTTCTGTTGATCATTTTGGCACATGGAGATTCTAGCTGAAAAGCAGTGCCAGACTTTTTAATTATTACCATACTGTCATGTGTGCAATGGCATCTCATTGTAAATTTAATTTTCATTTCCCTGAAAATTAATGGTTGACTTTTTAAAATGGTTTTACTAATTATATGTTTATTGGATACTTCATTTTTCTTTTCCATAGTGCTTATTTGAAACTTTGCCTGTTTTTCTGTTGTATTGTCAGTATTTTTCTTGATTTGAGCGTTGTTTATATATACTGTTCACTAATCTTTTATTAATTACATGCATTACAAATATTTCCTATGGCTTTCTATTTTCAGTCAGTGATATTTTCTTGTACAGTAATTTTTACTTTAATGTAGTATAATTTGCCAATATTTTCATATTGACTAGCACATTTTATAACTTGTTTAAGAAATTATTCCCTGATCAAAGTCATGAGGATCTTCTCCATTTATCTTCTTTTAAGTATATTTTATTAATGGTGTTATTACAGTTGTCCCAATTTTCTCCCCTTTATCCTCATCTGCTCTGCACCCCCCTCCCACCAGCATTCTCCCACTTAGCTCATGTCTGTGGGTCATACATATAAGTTCTTCGGCTTCCTCATTTTCTATATTATTCTTAATCTCCCCCTGTCTATTTTCTACCTACCAATTATGCTTCTTATTCCCTGTACCTTTTCCCCATTTTCCCCTTTTTCTCTCCTGCTGATAACCCTCCATGTGATCTCCATTTCTGTGATTCTGTTCCTGTTCTCATTGTTTGCTTAGTTTGTTTTCATTTCTGTTTTTTATGTTCAGTTGTTGATAGTTGTTAGTTTGTTGTCATTTTACTGTTCATAGTTTTAATCTTCTTTTTTCTTAGATAAATCCCTTTAACATTTCACACAGTAAGAACTTGGTGATGATGAACTCCTTTAACATGACCGTATCTGGGAAGCACTTTATCTGCCCTTCCATTCTAAATGAGAGCTTTGCTGGATAGAGCAATCTTGGATGTAGGTCCTTGACTTTTGTGACTTGGAATACTTCTTTCCAGGCCCTTTTTGTCTGTAGGTTTCTTTTGAGAAATCAGCTGATAGTCTCATGGGAACTCCTTTGTAGGTAACTCCTTTTCTCTTGCTGCATTTAAGATTCTCTTATCTTTAATATTGGGTAATTTAATTGTGATGTGTGCTTCCTTGGGTCCAATTTCTTTGGGACTCTCTGAGCTTCCTGGACTTCCTGAAAGTGTATTTCCTTTGCCAGATTGGGGATGTTTTCCTTCATTATTTTTTCAAATAAGTTCTTAATTTCTTGCTCTTCCTCTTCTTCTGGCACACCTATCATTCAGATGTTGGAACATTTAAAGTTGTCCCAGAGGTTCCTAAGCCTCTCCTCATGTTTTTAAATTCTTGTTTCTTCATTCTGTTCTGGTTGAATGTTTATTTCTCCTTTCTGCTCCATATCGTTGATATGAATCCCAGTTTCCTTCCATTCACTCTTAATTCCCTGTATATTTTTCATTATTTCACTTTGCATAGGCTTCACTTCTTCCTCTGTTTTGTATCTGTACTCATTTATTTTTGTGAGCATCCTGATTAACAGTGTTTTGAACTTTGCATCTGATAAATTGGCTATCTTCTCATCTCTTAGTTCTTCTTCTGGAGTTTTGATCTGTTCTTTCGTTTGGTCTATATTTTTTTGTCTTGGCACACCTGTTATGTTTTAAGGGGTGGAGTCTTAGGTATTTTCCAGGATGGGGCAACCCACATCTGTATCTTGGGAAGGAATCTGAGAGGGAACAGTGCCGCTTGCTCAACTCTTGCCCACTTTCAGTTACTTACTCCGCCACCCATAAGCAAACCGGTCCCTTCTTTTGCTGATTCCTCAGTGAGTGGGCTTGTGTATGTTCTAGGATCCTGTGGGTCTCTCCAGTGCACTCTTCTGTGAATCTGGGAGTTTCTTTTGCCACCACAACCCCCAAAAGTTTTTACAGTCATAGGTTTTGAGGCTTTGGTTTCCCACACTGGAACCCTGGGTTGCACGGTCTCTCTCACTCCCCAGTTGTGCCTAGTGGGTTATCCACATGTGAATGTGGGACCACAAGATAAGCCAGCCACCACCTCACTCCACCAGTCATTTGCCTGTGTGTCCTCTCTGCCCTGGCTGCCTCTCTCTGCTACTCTTATCAATCTCAATGAATTTTCTTCTGTAACTCCTTGGTTATCAGACTTCCATACAATTTGGTTTTATGAAAGTTCTGGTTGGTTTTTATTTCTAATTTTTTTGTTGTACTTCTTTTTGTTGTGAAAGGAAGGAAAGCACACCTACCTACACTTCCATCTTGGCTATAAGTCTCTATTTATCTTCTAAAAAGTGCTATTGATTTGCTTTTCACATTTTGGCCAATAATCCACCTTGGGTTGGTGTTTGCTTGTGATATAAGATTGGAGACCAATGTCATTTTTTAAAATACACATAATCAGTGGTCTCTACAGCATTAATTGAACAAACTATCCTTTCCATACAACTCTACAATATCCACATCTGTTTTATATAAAGAGTTTATATCTGTGGACTCTATGACTAAGCTCTCTATTATTTTCCTCTAGTCTATTTGCCTATACTTGTTCCTATATGATATTATTTTAATTATAACAACCTTATACAAGGTCTTGATATCAGAAAGAACAAGTCTTCCAGCTATTTTTCTTTTCAAAGCTAGACTGCAGTCTATATGAAAGTTGGAATTTACTCATATGAGGCAACCCTTGGTAATCCTAGTCTAAAATGGAGGATGATTTACTACAGTCACCAACCTGCACATGTGTAGAAAAGGGCCTAAATCCTGACACAAGGCAGCTTCACCAAAGAATAGCAGATATAATATGAAGCTCTGAATTTTAAATCAGAGATCCTGAAGGCCTTATAGGTTGATATGTTCAGGAAAAATCAAGATAATAGAAGGTTTAAAACAATTTTATGAAATTTGGGGGGGGGAAATAATTCAAGGAGAGCTCCAGTTTTGTTAACAACTCACCGAAACAATTTGCAATAAAGCAGGCACTAAGAACTGAGATGAAAACAAGAGCAATGACCCATGGGATTAGCTGGGGATGCTGGCTTCTTTCTATAAGAATAAAAACATAGATAAATAGGTTATTTTCTTTTCAGCCTCAAGTGCTAGGAAAACTAATTCTACTAAGGCAAGCTAAATATGACATTATCCAAATATTTTAGATGTAGAGGAGAGCTTAAAGATTTTCTCTGGGAAAAAAATCAATTCCAGAGCTTACTAATAAATAAGAAATATGTAAACATTTTTTTAAAAAAGAAAGGCTTTTATAAGGAAGATACAAAGCCAAAAAATTAATTAAAAATTGATAATTTTGGTACATAAAAGTTAAAACTCCTATATAACAATGTCAAAACAAAAGGAATACCTAGAAAAAAACCATGTCACAATATTAATATCCAGACTGTATAAAATATTTTAATCAATTAGAAAACAGCAAAAATTTGAACAGAAAATTTGATTTGTTGAAACTACAAATGACCATTAAACAAATAAAAATATGCTTAGAAAAATATAAACTAAAATATTATGATATGATATTTCACAAATCAGATTTTTAAAAGTAAATTAAAATGTAATACTCTAGGTGAGAAAATAGATGCTGCTGCTGAACTACAAGTTAGAAAGCCATTTACACAGATCAAGTCAGCAGCATTTAGCCCTGGCTGGTGTGGTTCAGTGGATTGAGCTCCAGCCTGCAAGCCAAAGGGTTGCTGGTTTGATTCCCAGTCAGGGCACATGCCTGGGTTGCAGGCCAGATCCCCAGTTGGGGAAATGCGAGAGGCAACCATGCATTGATGTTTCTCTCTCTCCCTTTATCCCTTCCTTCCCCTCTCTCTAAAAAGAAATAAAAATAAAGTCTTAAAAAAAAGAAAAATATAACTTATAAAAAAAGTTAGCAACATTCATCAGTTTTTAAATGCATTACATTTGCCACAACAATTTCTTTTTTATTTTTAATTTCATTGTTTAATTAGTTTACATTTAATATTATTTTGTATTCTTTTCAGCTGTACAGCATAGTGGTTAGACATTTACTTTACAAAGTGCCACAATTTCATTTCTAGAGATTTATCCTTGTTGGGAACCGCCCTGACTGGTATCAGAAACTGAAACCCCCGCCTAGCTAAGGCTAAGGGAACGCCCTTGGAACCGTGAGCTGGCAAGGAGACAAAAGCTTATCTTCCTGGCAGAAATGCTGTTTCTGCTGCTGAACCCCAAAAAGCTTGGTCGGTTAGCCAAAGACGGGTAAGATTCCCCACGGGGGGAACAACCCAAGCCAGGCACGATCACTTTGGGAGGCCCCCCCAAAAGAAGGACTTAGGGGGGCTGCAGCAAAAGGGGGGTGATGGACCCTCACTCCTCGGCTTTGACAAAGTCTGAGTTCTCAGCGTCCGGAAGAAAATCTCCTTATCTCTTGGTTACCTTAGTTCCCTTGCTCCACCTAAGCCTGAAACAATGACGGGGAAGTACAGCTCGGTACTGGGAAGTGCGGATTTCCCGGGGTGATCAGGCCTAAGAAAGAACATGTAAATTACTGTGAAACCTTCTTTGTTCAAGAATGCTCTCAGTTGAATGAGGAGGGTCTTAGGAGGAAGCTAGTTTGTTCCTCAGCCTTACAGCTCTTTGACCCCCAACTCAATAGACCGGCAGAGCTCTTTGTTTTCTATATTCCTTACTTCCCCTAATGAGTACTGTACTTTGCCTGAATTATTATGCAAAATGAGCCTAATAAAAGCAGGTATGGACGGTAAATCAGGGCGCTCCCCACTAGGGGGGGTGGCCATTCTGTCCCTACTTCCCCACAGAAACTGGTTTGTCTCTGTGCATGTGTCGTTTTTTCTCGCGTATTGTCGAGCCATCCACAGTGTGCTGTGGTCACTGCTAGCCGGTGACCCACGCGCAACATATCCTATAGATATAACTGAATTTATTTATGTAAAAAGGTATTCATTGGAGTACTTTGGAAATAGAATAAAACACTGAAATGTAATACTTGTATGTGTATTGTCAATAATAGAGATTCTACACTATGGTGAATCCATGCAATGGAATTCTATATGGCAATTAAAATAATCATGTATGTGAGTATGTACTGTGCTAAAAAATCTCTAGGACATATTGTCACATAAAAAAGTGTTTTTTTTGGGTACCATTGTTCATTGTGGGTCCATTGACATTTGCCATGGTACATTGATGAGTTAAAGTGAAACATTAATTTTAAAATTATATGCTCTATATATTTCTAAAATATTATTTAATGTTCTCATACTACAAATCCATTTGTGTCACTTCCATAAAACATAAAATGGGATAAAGTTAGAGCCTCAGGAACAGTGTGAGCTTTAGTCAGTGTGTCTTCTATATCTTCCTTCTCTCTCTTCCCTTTAAGAATCTTCCCAAGTTATTCTCTTCTTTTCTTTCTTGTTTTTCTTTTATACACTTTAACTTCTCTCTTGGCCCAATTTATGTTTCATAGAGAAGTTTCCATTGCCCAATGTATTTGAGTCTATCTATGGCCTTTCTCTTCATCAAAATCATTCATTCTCATTATCTTCTACCTCCTCCCCATATCATGATATTCAATCTTAAAAACTACAACTCTCAATTTTATTTTAAAATCTTAGCCTTAATTTTACCAGCATCTTTAAAATTGAAAGAGAGAAGTACTCACGTTTATTTTGAAGTTCATCTTTCTCCATTGTGTGTTAACTATCTTGTTATCCAGGATTTGGGAGGAACAGATATCTATCTCTTATATTTTGTTTCCAGGGTATATTTCTGTGGATAAAAGAATATATTCAGGAATACTTGAGATGAAACATCAGTCTTACTATTCTGGTGGGACTGTATAGTTCCCAATATAAAATACTTAACTCAAAAGAAGAAGTCTGTTTAAAGACTGAGGTTTCCTTTGATTCATTCTGGGAGATGGAGCAAAGAGAAAAGGAAATTGAGAAAGCAATACCCAAAACTAGTCAGTAGAAACTTCCATAAGTAACTGAGATCACTAATTAGTGTGCCACATGAAATTATTCAATTTGTTTTTATTTGTTTAAACAAAAAAATAGCTGAACCCTAACAGAATAATCATTATACCTAATAAAAAATTAATGCATCTATTTGACAGGCTTGGAGCAATTACTGGCTGCTGATAAGGTTCCAGTGCAAACAAAGAAAAGAAGGTCCTCACACCTTCTGTCTGATTGTGGCAGACAAGCTTGAATGGGGAAATACAGTGTGAAAACATGGGGTTTTTACAATCCAGAAATCACCTTGTAAACAGTTGAAGAGCCTGTTTTACTCCAAAGAAGAATCTGGAATACAAGTTCACAAGTAAAAAATAAATAAATAAATAATGCTCTCATTTTCTCTTTTCCTGGATATTATTTTTTAAATGGCAATTATATGCTTGAGGTAACCTCTGCCCTATATAGTTCTCTGTTCTGAGTAAGTTGTGTGCAAAATGGTAAAAGACAAAGTGACCAATGAGCAAAAGCTTTTAATGTTCACAATGTATGTACATTGTATGTGAAGGCATGAAAACCTTTGCTCTGGGGTTGAGAAAGAGGTGGTGCAGCTGTTGATTACATCTTAAATTTTCATAGATGAGAGAAAATAGTTTTTTTTAATGCAAGTGAAAGTATGACATTCTGTGAGAAAGACACCATCAGGGTCCCTGACTTCATTTGCTGAACTGTCATGGACTGAATACTTTTGTCTCCCACCACTGTGCTGGTACCTTGATGTCAGACTTCCCAGCCTCCAGAACTATGAGAAATACATGTCTGTTTTTTAAGCCATCCAGTCTTTGGTATCCTGTTAGAGCAGACCAAAATGACAACAACATGTACCTAACAGCCCAGAGATCCTTATTGCATATAAGCTTCCAGAATATGTCCCTTTCCCTGCATTCTTCCTTAAACTACAATATTACTTTAAATATGTATAAATACATATAGTTATCCTAAATAAAATGCTACTTTATTGAGTTAAATCGGAAATGAAAGTAAGTAAAATTATACATTTGACAATACACAAACAGTTTGTTTTCCAACACAGTTACAACCAAAAGTATTACTTCAGCAACAGCAACAATTGCCCACAAACTCTCATAAGCAACACTATAAACTAGATCTTGTCTAAAGTAATATCCATTCCATATTAAAAAATCTAGGACCCCTGGATATATATAAATCTTGCTTACAGCAGAAAAAAATAAACTATATTTGGCACATTTTGTGTTCCTAGAAAATAAGAAAAATTTCTAAAGCATGAAAGAAACTCTTCTTTAACATGTTCTCTAAGATAGGTGAGAAGCTGTGTCCAAGATATAGTTAAGATTATAAAAAGACAATGTAAAAATGAGCAAAAGCCCTATTAGCATTTATTTTGGAGTTGAGGGGAAAGTAATAGAGCTATTGGTTAAATCCTAAGATCTTCCTAGATGAGATTTGCAGACAAGGCAAAGGAAAAAAGAAATGTAAAATACTTCGTTACTACTGGTAGAAGGTCCTAAAAGGTAAGTGGCAAACTTCCAACGACTCTAAGAACTCCAGGGACAGGTTTAAAATTTTTGAGTATGAATGTAATTGCTTTCCATTGTGATGATTAATTAGTACTATTTGAATGTATAAAAACCTGTGAATTCACAATGATCTAGAAAGGAAATAATTTATGTTTGTAATATAAAATAAATAAATATAGGTGTTTATTTTACATTGATTTAGTAAAAAAGGAACTATTATATGAGTATTAGTATATATGTTGTTTCAGTAAAAGTATATACATTTCTAAGCATAGGTATTTCTTTGTTTCATTTTGTAAAACTAAATAATAGACATCAGAACTGATATGACAAGTAATCCTAGGGGGAAAAAAAGTCAATTCTGTACCAAAAACAGGAAGAACTAATGTGCATCAGTTGTTATCCTTAATAACTAGGTGAAAAGGGAAGTCAAAAGTTTGTACAGAGTGAGTAGAGAAGGGGTCACGATGTACCGCAAAATTATAAATTAACCAGATATACTAAGCAAAAGGGCTAACAATGGAGACCCACTTATATCCTAGAAGATGAAACTTCTAAATGGACCTACTGATTATGACAAAATAAGGAAAACATGGTTATGGCATAATGCTGACAGATAAAACCAATGGAGTTATGTAACACTGGCTAAGTGAGATATTAGGAGTACAATATTTCTGGGAGAAACACCTGGTTGCAAAAAATTATGTACAAAGTACAGACTAAAATAGACTAATGTCACAACTGAAGAATGAAAATAATTATGTTCTTGTTCAAATTAGTGACATGGGAGGCTCTTAAACTCACTTTCTCCCACAGACACACCAAATCTGCAGCTACATATGGAATAATTCTCTCTTAAAGAAATCCAAAAACTAGCTTAGCAACTCCTACACATCAGGTGAATGAGAAAAACCTACGTCAAAATGAGTAGGAAAGGCTGAGACACACTTCCATTAACCCCACCCCTGGCATAGCAACATATAATTGGAAGGAAACTCACAACTCTCAGCTTCTGCTTGAAAAGTGAAAAATCTGGGCTTCAGATTTACTACCCAAACTTGTAAGACTACCACTTGAGAGATGGGTACCCACAACACCTACCTCTCTGAAAGCCAAAGGAAGGGGCTTGAGTCTGTGAAACCCACAAAACTATAGCAAACAAAGAAAGTGTTCTTACCAGTCTTTAAAGGACTCACATGGTTATCCTCCCTTGGCTCACCACAGAATCAGCAGACAAAAAGACACATCTTCCACCCTGGTCGGTGTAGCTGAGTTGGTTGAGTGTTGTCCTGTAAACAGAAAGGGCAGGCGTTGGATTTCTGGTAGGGCACATGCCTAGGTTGCAGGTTCAGCACAGTTGGAGTACCTGTGGGAGGCAATTGATCATTGTTTCTCTCTCACACTGATGTTTCTCTGCCTCTCTCTCCCTCACTTCCCTCTCTCTAAAAATCAATAAGCATGTCTTTGGGCAAGGATTTAAAAAAGAAAAAACAAAACACATCTAGTCTTTTCCTGAAAGAAGTTTATTTGCATATCTTAAAAGCTGCAGCCTATGTGCCATTGTGGAAAATAGTATGGAGTTTTCTCAAAAAATTAAAAATGAAACTGCCTTTTGACCCTGCAATCCCACTTCTGGGAATATATCCCAAGAAATTTGAAACACTAATTTGAAAGAATATATACACCCCTATGTCCATAGCAGCATTATTTATAATAGCCAAGATCTGGAAACAGCCCAAATGCCCACCAGTAGATGTGTGGATGGAAAAGCTGTGGTACATTTACACAATGGAACACTACTCAGCCATAAAGGAAAGGAAATCTTATACTTTGCAACAGGATGGATGGACCTGGAGATTATTATGCTAAGTGAAATAAACTAGTCAGAGAAAGACAAATATCATATGATCTCACTTACATGTAAAATCTAAATGAACAAAATAAACTGATGAACAAAATAGAAACAGAGGCATAGATACATGGGCCAGACTGACAGCTGTCAGAGTGGATGAGTGTTGGAGGATCAGATGAAAAAAGTGAAGGGATTAAGCAAAAACAAAATAAAATAAAACAAAACAAAAATATATATATATACCCCATAGACACAGACAACAGTGTGGGGATAGCCATAAAGAAAGGATAGTGGGGGTAAGTGGAGGTGAGCAAAGTGAAGGAGAGAGACTTTAGTTGGGGTGATGTATGCAAATGCAGTGTGCAGGTGATGTTTTATAAGTTGTATACTTGAAACCTGTATGGTTCTGCAGACCAATGTCACCACAATAAATTCAATTTTTAAAAAAACCATAGACTTACAGGAAATAAAAACATATCTAATATGGAAATTATGACTAGACTACACAAAAATGTCTGTTAAAGGGGCTGAGAAAGAAAAGTTGTGTACCAACTCCAGCGATGATGAAAGCAGCAGACAAACAGGCTGACAACCACAGCAACAATCCAGTGACTCACCGGGGACCCACAGCTTCCTCTTTGTTGTAGCAAGTAAAGAACACTAATCTAGGGTAATATGCTTCTCAGAGGTAAGACCAGAGGAAACCAGAAACATTTACAAGTGAATATGTCTAGGCCAAGAGTATAGATATGACTTTCTTTCCATTAGTGCCATGAACACATCCTACATCCTTGAAGACAGACTATAGCTCAGCACATTAAACAAAGAATTTCCTTCATGTAGGATAGACAGCATCCATACTTCCAGGCTACTGATTGGGTTTATATATAGAAGATGGAGTTCCCCTAAAGGGGCCATGAAAACATATTTTTCAGAATGACTAAAATTTTTCCAAATTGGAAAAAAATTATAAACCCACATATTCAAGATTTGTATTAAACCCCAAACAGGATGAACACCAACACACAAACATACACACAATCAAGGTACATCATAATCAAATTGCTTTAAAAACAAACTAAAAAAAAAACAGCAGTGAGGGACTCTTGAAAGCTTCAAAGAAAGACTGTAGACTTCTCACAGAAATTGGCAGGTCTTATAAAGATGTACATAGACTTCCCATTTAACTCAGCAATTTTATTTCTAAGAACTTACTCATGATAAATGAAAACATATGCTCACAAAAAGACTGATATATAAGCATTTATAGCAGATTTATTCATAGTAAGTGAACTCTGGAAACAAACCAAATGTCTACCCGTGGATAAGCAAATTGTGTTATATTCATACGGAGGACCACTACTCATCTTGAATTTTTTAAAAAGTTGTTAATGGCGAAATGGGACCAGAATGCTACTGAACCTCAGTTGAGCAACCTTGGTTCTTGAGTTCTGGCTAAGGAAGAATTTAGAGTCAAGACTCAAGTATAAACAAAAGTTTATTTAGAGAGTCACAGATGCCCTGGCCAGTGTGGCTCAGTTGGTTGGAGCATTGTCCCATAACAAAAAGTTTGCGAGTCTGATTCCTGGTTGGGGCACATACTTTGGTTGTGGGTTCAGTCTCTGGTCTGGGCATATATGGGAGGCAACCAATTGATGCTTCTCTCTTACATCAATGTTTCTCTCTCCCTGTCTCTCTAAAAAACAATTTTAAAAAGCTGTCCTTAGGAGAGGGCAAAAAAAAAAAAAAGAAAAAGTAAGTCACAGAGGTAAAAGAAGTAAGTCATGGAAGAAAGGAGCCACCTGGGCTGTGTGGACTCAGGAAAAATGTTACAGGGGAAAAAGCAGGGCCTTTGGAGCTTGGGAAAAAGAAAGGCAAAAATAAAACTCCTGGCAAAAGCAAAAGCAGGGAAGGTATGAGCACTTCAGAGAGTGGGAATGTGCACCTGAGAAGGGGGTGGGAAAAGCTGTGAGCATGCTCAAGAGAAAGAGAGAGCATGCACTGGATCTTTCGTACAGAGAGTTCTTACCCACTCTCTAAAGGCAGGGATCTTAGGGGAGGATCTCCATTGAATATTCATCAGATTTCCAGGTGTGTCTTTTTGGGGTTGTAGTCTCTACTGATTGGTTGGCACGTGGGCAGGGGTCATAGTCATTGCAGCTGGTTCTAATGTTAGCCATGGCATTGCTCTGCCTGGACTTGCTGCTTTTCTGAGCCTGGAGCTGAAACACAACTGAGGCCTAGATGTTTTCTTGAGTTTGTCCAAAACTTTGTGGCTATGGTCAACATACCTGAGGCTTTGCTTCCAAGATCATTTGATATGAGTCAGAACCTCACTGTTGTGAAGGCTTAATGCTTCAGTGAGTGGTTGTGCAAGGACTCATATTGAAGTCATATAAAGCTATTCTTCAGCCTCCTTGTTCATCCTCTAAGAGGGTTTATGCCATGACTAGAGACATGCCAGGGGAGGGAAGGTCAGGGGAGGGTCTGAACCAATGATATGAACCAATGATATGACCTATGATATGAAAGATCATGGGATCTAATCCTCAAGCCCAGCAATATGCTAGAGGAAGAAAGGTCACCCTGGGGGTAATGTCCCACCCTACAATTGTCTGCTGCTAGGCACCTGGGGCTTTCCATCCTCGTGGACTTGCATATCTACCCTGTTGTTCCTACTCTGCTCATGCCTTTCCAACAGCCTAGTAATCCCTCCCTATGAATTCTTGGATCTGAGTTCTCTAAGGGAAGGGGCATCCTACTAAAGAGGTGCAAATTTTTCTTTCAGAGTCAAGTGATCCTTGCTTATTGTCAGAGGGAAAATGAAGCCTGGACATGGAAGGAGATTGTAATGGTGTCTAGAGTTGATAAGGAGCATTATTACTTGAGTGTACGTAGGGCTTGTATTCTAGTGGAGACTAATTGTGTTATAAATCTCAATAATTCTAAGTCAAAGGATGGAACAAAAACAAAATGTTAGTTTGGATGGTTATAACCAAATATTAAAGAAAACTAGAAAAATTCAGGATCCAGTTCAGATTATAGGTGATAATTAAAACTTTGAAGACAATTAACTGAAGTAGAGTCTAATATCCACATCTGTGCATTATAAATTCTAACGAAACACAATTTCTCCCTCTAAAATCACCCTCATTTTTACTAAAGAACCAATTTAAGACCAATTTATTTACTGCATTCAGTCTAGTTTTAATTTGCCATGATTATTTGCTTTGACCCAACAGAAATAGTAATTGGTCATATAGGCTCTCTTAAATCTGCTTTGCTGGAATCTCATAAGAAATTTCCAAAATGAGCTTTAATTAGACTCTCAGAGTGAAAAAGACAAGCCATATAGTTGCCAACAAGCCTTGCCTGCAATACCTTTAGGTTTGGGTGAATTCCTCTAGTTCTTAAGGTCCACCAAAATGTCTTCAGGTTCTTTCTTTGTCAACTCCCAGGAAAGCAACTTTCATTTCTTACCTGGAAAGACTGCCATGAACCATTTCCGATGGGCTTTTATCAGCTTCCAAAGTCAATATTAATTTCTTAAATATTTCTGGTGACATATAGTGTCTAGGTATGTCTCTCTCCAACATGGCATTCCAGTCAAAGTCTTGGTTAATAAGACCACAATTAGAAACTGGTTTTATGTGTTGTATTATAAAGAAAACAGATTGTTGGAGTCCTGCAAATGAACATGTTGTCATGAAAATAATAATGCTGACTCATTAACAGTTTCCAACTTTTAAAGGGTTCAGGTAGGGAGAAAAATATAAAGCAAAAGGAAAGTCGTTCTCTTTTTAACAGAATGAAAAGAAACCAAACTCTAAACCAAACTCTATATCACCTTACTCATGATATTTGAATTCATTTACTTCATTAAATTTATTATTCAGCTTAACTATATAATTTCCCCTCAATATTTTTCTTTACAAATCCTCTGCAACTTTTCTAGTCGATTTTAGTTTACCTCTTCCTAACTCATGCAGAAATAACCAGCTTTAGAACAACTCACTTTCCTTTTCCTTCAAAATATATCTCCATACCTTAAATCTTCTATTACCAAATCCACAGAGTTCCTTTCCAACTTGATTACAATTCCTAACTCTTAGAAACCTTTATTTTTAGTGACAACTAAAAAGCAATTATCATTCTTTAAATTAACAAATACATTTCATAACTTCTAGAAACATAAGCTATTCCTTTGGCAAACACACACTTTTAAGAGATATTTGTAATAAAGTATAAAATATTCATTAACAGCTCCAAATCTATTTTCTAGCTTCTCAGTAGTAAAAATCCAAAAGTGGTGAATTTAAGACTTGTTTAGCAATCAATGTTCAACAGCTGAGATAAGTTAAATTAATCTGCCAGGATGGCTACAGGGTTGTTGTTTTTTTCCTTTTAATAAGAATTATCTCCCA